TACAATTAAAATTCGACTCAATAAGGGTACGAAACACCGTATCAACTATAAATAGTAGAGTTGACCAATTAGTGTATTTCAATATTATTGTAAATATTTTGTTACCATGAAATATAGAATGATGTTGTAAGTCGTTTAATGCTAATAAATGATAACGAGTTTGTAGTTTTGTATATTTGAGTTTTATGAAATGAAAGGTTTAGTATTTATAATAGAAATAATATAAGAAGTCGGGTCAAAGAATTGTTTAGTTCAATGCGTTTGGGGTTACGGGTGAAAGGTAAAGAGACATGAAAGAAACATTAAAATTAATGAATGAGACGTAATATCACTAGTTAAACCAAATACATGAAGATTATTAAGAGGTTAAATGGCATCATCATGTTCAAATTATTTTACTACGTACTGAAATAGTGTTTGAGTTATGGAAATATTGAATTCAGTTTGAAAAGCAGTTGTAATAATGGCAGAAATAATATATGTTCGATTGTTTATGCGATGTGGCAGAACACAAAACGCAGAAAGGATTAATAATAGTAAGAATAGACTGCGGGTCAGAGGAGATTGCCTGAGACTCACAATAATGAAGAAGTGATGAAGGTTGATTACGCTTCTAATTAGTGGTATCAAAATTATGATATTAATGAAGGTGGTGTTGAGTTGTATCTGGCAGTTATGTTAAGTTTGTGAAGATGGAATAATGCCGTTTTATAAATGGTTGTTAGGATGAGACATTATTGTCATTGGTCACCAAGAAATAGAATCAGGACCAGAGAGGAGAGCATACATCTTAAACAATGTTTTCATCAAATCAACAATCAGAAGAACTAGGTATCCGGTTGGTAGTGCTAAAATCAAATAATTGAAGGCTGGTGGAGACACCAAAGGTCAACTATAATAGAAGATTACGTGGTAACAGTTATTTACAATAATAGAAGAATGTAGGAAAATTAGCAGAGAGATGAGGTTATTTTAAATCTATCATACTAACACAAAATGAAGGTTTCGATAAAATATTGTATACAGCATTTTCGCGTAGATATTATCATTTATATTACTTGCAGATACATACGTTATAAGAATAATACATTAATGTTGTTAATCAGAATGGGTCTGCTGTATGACAAATGCAGAGAAATTTTATCGTCGTGAGAAATATTTCAAATATTAATATTACTATTGATGTTTATGTGTATTACCCAGTTTTATGGTAATTCAGTAAATTAACATTTACTATTGTCTTTCGTAAATACGGTCCTACAATTGTACTCTGGCATATCACACTAAGGTATAAGGTATGACCGCATTTACGAAGGTACCAAAATCGTTGATTTACCGATTACACAAAACCGACAATACACGCCGTACTTCAACATCCCCGTATGCGGTAATACACACCTACAAATGGTATGGAATACGGTTCTGAACAGCTCATTAATTTTCACGACAATACCGAAATTTTCTCGGGCGCGACATGCACAGTACTGCAGTTACATTCTGCCAATAATATTAATGTAATATTCTATATTTCCTGTACACGTGTCGTATGCTATCTACCGCGTATGCTATCTACAAAAATTAATACTTGTGTCGTATGCTATCTACGCGAAAAAAATGTATGCTCACCTTACCTAAATAATTTTATCAGAGCTTGTAGTTTTACAATTGTCATTGAAATTATGATAGATTTATAAAAATGTATCCTTTATGTCTCTCAAAAAACTTTCGAACGTATTGGTTGGATTCACTGAACGCCACCATTCTTCCTGTAATTGTCTGTCGAGTAAGTTTGTTGCACCACGTGATCTTATATTATAGTTGACCTTTAGGTGTCTCCATAAACACTCAATTGTTTGAGTTTTAGCACCTGTATGCGGATCTATGAAGTTCTTACTATGGTTGACAGTTTGATGAAGAAAACCGTGATTTTTTAAAGTGCTGTATGCTCTCCACTCATCTGAATGAACTGTTGATCCTGGTTCTATTTCTTGAATTATTATTGGTAATAATGTGTCTCGATCCCTCTTATTGACTATAAAAAAACGGCGTTCCAAAATTCCATCTTCACGCAAACAGCACATACCAAACACCCAAGGTCCTTGAACTCGGCTACCATAATTTCGATTAGTATCATAGTTTTGATTTTCTTCGTTAGAATTATCCTCGGAAGTATCGGTAGTATTACCATCTGTATCTTCATTATTAACAGGTTTACAATCTCCAAGGCGAAGTCTTCCTCTGTTGTACTTACGTTTCCCTTGAAAAATAGATTCGTCTATTTGTACTATTAATCCTTTTCCACCCATTTTTCCACGTTTTTTAAATTGTTTTGCCACCACATCTCGACATAGATTGTACCAATCCGAGACTGTATGATGACCTCTGCCAGTTATTTTTTCGGTTTGTGCAACTTTAAATTTATTTACCCAGCACCAAACAAGTTCAATAATTTCACATAAGCTCAAACCACTTTTATTTTTTCCATTTTTATCCACGTAGGTAAAAAATGGATTTTGGGAACGTATTGATTGCCATTTTTGACAACCTCTTGTTTGGCATCTCATGTATTTGGTTTTAACTAATTGACCAGTTGCATCTCGTTTTCGACTATTTTTTAATGTTTCTTTCATGTCATCACCACACACTTCACCCGTAGCATTTAATTTAGTACATACATTTGAATTCGGCAATAACCCACGTTCTTTTAAAAATTTGACACAAGATTCGTCGTTAAAAATAATATTTCTGTATAAATCACCTAAATTACTCATTTTCATAAAACTCAAATAAACACAAAAATACAAATACGTTTATCGTTTATTAAGCACCGAACACATACTAGACGACACAACATAATACGAATACAATCATTTCGTAATTGGTAATGTATTAAAAATAGGATGGGAAAATGTGTAGATAATTTTAATAATGTAGATAGCATACAACCGGCGTTTACTAGTTGGGTCCGAAATACCCTTATTTAACCTAGTTAGGTCCCGGTGGTTTTTAGGTACCACACTAGTTGGGTCCGGGATTTTTTTGGGTGTTACACTAGTTGGGTCCTAGCAAAAAAACATTTTCCTTCTCATTTTTACAGACTTAGGACTGTCAGTGATCTATAAATTAGAACACAGGTATGATTAAAAATATTTTTTTTACAATAATACAAAAAATGTTAAAATGTTAATATTAGTAGTTATAAAGTATAAAATGTTAAAAAATTTTATAATATTCATATAGTTGGTAAAAATTTAAACGAAAGAGCTTTTACGAATTCAAAACGATTTATTTTATTCAACATTTTTTCCATCATTTTTTCTTCAATAAAATTTTCTTTTAATAATATAATTTTCCTTTTGTTCTGCCCACTTCTAATTTTTATGTAATTATCGATTTGTACAGTTTTCAAGACTTCGATAAATTGATATAAGTTAGGCTTTGCTGAATAGAATTTTGAATTGAAATGAGCGTGGAAAGACTCACAGGCATTTGTCGTTCTCATTGTTGATGATTTGAAGTCTGCCCAAATATTAGGGGGGAAAATTGCTTCTGAGTCAATATAGTTATTTAATATATAATCTGTAAATTCTTGTATTCGTTGATCACTTGGCTGAATAGACATTAGATCTTCTATAAAACAATCCGCAACTTCCTCAGGCTTTAAGAATGGTAATCCAAAAAAATATTTCAAGTATTTACCTTGTTCAGAATCTTGTTTATATTCATTACTAAGTCCTAAAGTTTGTATTTTTCTCCACCAACTTTGTGCAATGTGAAACCGACAGCCTTTAATATTAATTTCTGGCCATGTGGAAAGAGCACCTAAATGAATTGCGTTCTCGAAATCTGCATATATGAATTCTGGTTTAAAAATTAAATTAATCTTAATACATTCGTCGACTAATAACTGAAAAATTTGTGCATATGTTTGAGTGTTTTTATCTTTGAGTAAGCAAAAAATTAAAGGAATGTAAAGGTTGTTATGCATTGTGTGGATTGTAAACATTTGAGTAAACATCTTCGGGACACTTTTGAATGTTCCATCTACATAAATAATATTTTTCGAGCATAATAATTTTAAGTTTTCTACTGTGGAGAAAATTATAATATTACTAACTTTATCATTAACTAATAAAAATTGCTCATCTCGATTCGTTGTTAGTTTTAAATCATTTAGAACATTATGAACATCGTCAATATTTTTCGGAATTTTTGGTTGTATAGCTTTTCTAGCATTATAAATATTTTTTCGAATTAGATTACAATCATTATGCGTTAAATTGAGATCATCATTTTTTAATTCACGTTGCAATATTTTAGAAGGCCTTTCGCAAATATCTTCTAAGCCTTTTCTTTTGGCACTATTACTAATCGCTTGTCTAAGTAGTATGCTTTCTTCAGTACATGCGTGATTATGTGATAATGACTCGTCGATCAATACATTATTTTTATATTTAAAAAAACACTTACAAGATCTTTGTACGCAGCGCCATCGTTCAACATCGTTTGATAGAGTCTTGTGAAATGAAAATTTAAATCCGTCAGGTGTAACGTACACGCGTTTTCCTTTTTCACTAAACATTAATTTAAAATTTTCCATTTTAACAGAAAGTAGGTTCAAGTGTACAGCTGGATTGGAATAGCAAGTTATACTGACATTGTATAATATTTAACATCTGGAATACTGCTATTGAGTGAATATTGGCTATATATTTTTATACATATATGGGTTAATTTCATTATTTTTGACAATATCATATATCAATAATTGTAAGTTACAGTTTTTTCAATCGGACCCAATTAGTATGTTATCGTTTTTATAATCGGACCCAATTAGTATGTTATCATTTTTATAGACGGACCCAATTAGTTGTTTACCTTTATCATAAATGTTATCTTGGACCCAACTCGGATACGTCCCATACAACACCTATAAATCGACCGTAGATAGCATACGACACGTGTACCATTTCCCTTTCCATATTTACAGAATGAAGACTGTCATTTTTATAAATTGCGTACCTAGTTAAAAATGTAATATATATTAGATTTTATAAATTATTAATTGTAAATGTTTGTACGCCAATTTTTGGGCGCGACTCCTTTGCGCACATTTCCCTTCTTTTATTTAATTATGACTTATTAATATACTGTATAAAATAAAATAAATATATTAATTATATATAAATTAAGATCAAATTATTTTGCACGTCTAATTATTTATTATATAATTTAACATCGATCGACCAGATATTGGCAAGAATAAGATATAACAATATAATAAATAGATAAAAGTAATAATAATAATAACGTCAAAGATTGTATTATATTATGTAAGCGTAAAAAATATTGTCAATTATTAATTTAAAAATGTATATATTGAATTAAGTAAAAAAGTACAACAATAAAAGTTATATTGTGTTATTAATTTACACAATTAATAAAAAATGATATGGATATTTAATAATTTATTTTATAATTATAGCACACGTGTTTAATAAATTCCATAACCTTCAGGTATCTAATATAAATGTGATTTTAATATTACAAAAATTAAAAAACATGCATTGTAGATTTAATGAGTAATAATAGTTGTCTATTAGTTATAGAATTATACTAATTTTGACTGGTAGCATTTAAGTCCGGTTTTTTTTCATGAAAGTTAAACGATTAATAATATTATTTTTATATTAATTCCAAATGTATTCCATTTGTATCTCTTTTATTTTGAAGTTTATGATTTTATTGTTTATTGAATAATTCAATTTGAATTAATTTTTAAATCAGTGTCACTTTGAATTCCAATAATGACGTCGACTACTTGATGTATGTGCGGATGAACCAATGTAAAATTGACTGCAGTTATATTGTCAGTGATTACTTTCTGCACCATTAGTATTCTTAGGATTCTTATAGTAGGTTCACAAGCCTATAATGTAGAAGGAAAACTGCTGTCCGATGTTACGTAATTTTCTAAAATATAATCGGAAAATTTAGAAATAGTACTAGACTTAGTTACTTAGTACTTGGTGCTATCGACATAAGATCACAAAATCCATAAGAAACTACGTTAGGGGGAAAATAATTTAATCCAAAAAAAATTTCATCCATTTGCCAACTTCAGAGTCATTAATTAAGTACTCGCTCGATAATAATTTATGTTGTTGAATATGTCTAAACCAATTTTGGACTGAATTAAAGTTACAACACGTGATTTTTCAGTTAGGGAAAATTTGCAATACTGCATTATGCACATATTTTACGAAGCCGATATAAAAAATTCTTAAATTTATTATATTACCAGTAATTTGAATATATATAATGTAAATTTTTCCACATATTGATGTAATTATCAGTATGTTTGTTACTCAGTGATTATGTTGTGCGCAAACGAATTAACGATATTTAGGTAAAAATTTGGATTGTACGCAAACGAGTTGCACCGCCCCTGTATAACTCCCACCCCACAACTGTAAATATTAATCTAACAATATAACAATACTTTGAGTCAATTACCTAATTAATGCCAGAACATTAGAGAAAAATTTAAGTTATTTACTGGACAGAACATTAGATGTTCGCAGTCGGGGTTCACTAGGCACAGCATGTCCTATTTATTATAGTATTTTTTATGATAAACTAAGAATAGTATAACTTATGTTGTTATGATAAATTAAAAAACATATTTTCCTAGTTTGAATAGATGATTTTCTAAGAATGTACGACTTAAAGAATAAGAAATATAATAAAACTATTCACACATTTTAGTTTTTTCAAACAAATATACATTTACAATGTCGTTATTACATGTTATATATTAAGTGAGTCAGTCCAGCACCCCGAGATTCGAAAACGCCGATTTCGGGGGTAATTTTTGGGTTACAAATTCCGATTTTTTCGTTACAAATTGTTACAAATTAGTTACTAATTATCTAAAAAGGTTTGAGGTCGAAATTTTGAATTCGGGGTGCCATGCTGACGGACCTGGTAATCTTTTGTAAATAATTTAAGGAGTACGCCATCAATTTTTTTTTTACTATCAATTGTCATTTTTTTAGGAATAAAATTATGTATGCGAGTTTGTTTACGGTTACTTGGTTGATTTTGAATTTGAAGAATGTAAGAAACTGCAGATTGACTTTGTGGTGTAGTATTATTCTGTGCAGTCGATGAAGAACTATTTCTGCCATCTGGATCATCAACATTTTGGTTGCTAGTTCCCTTTTGAATATAATTTAATATTAATGTATACAGTTATTTATTTAAATTAAATAAAACAATATTGTTTAAGATTATAACTTACTTGATTTTGACTTATTTGATTTTGTTCACATGATATTAAATGGCAACTTTTTAAATGTTTTTTTTAATTTGTCAGTGTTGATTTGTAAGAGTAATTTTTTTTACATACTCGTATATCACATTTTGAAAATGTTGCATCAATAATTGTAAAATGAGCCCAAACATAACTGTGTCGGTTTTCCATGTTTAATTATTATAAAACTTTCACAAAACTTTAAAATAAAAACTTTAAAACAAATTGTAAAATGTTTTATTTTGTGTTGTGTAACCTGGTGTTCATCTAGATTTTAGACCAGAACTACAAATGAACTACAGTAGACAATAACGTAGTCACAGAATATCTATAATATATCCTTTTTCATAAAGACAAAACTTAACATGTTTCGACCAGTAAATTATTTAAATTGTTGGTCAGTGATAGAACGATACAAAGAAAAGAAACGAAAAAGAAAATACTCTGAGTTTTAAAGTTTAACTAAATTATAACAAAACAAAGGTGCGGAAGACGCTACACGACGCCACGACACGATGGAGCACGACAGGGGAGGGGGCTTATCGAACGGTGTGTCGACCGATGCAATGCCGGAATTACTCTGACTATTGCACCACAGGGTAGGTGACTGATCGATGTAATGCCAGAATAACTCCAACTATTGCACCATTGACCGAGTCACAAACCGTTCGATAAGTGAGGTCTGGGAGGCCGCTTTTCCTATTTGCGCAAGTCTGCCCGGGTGGGGTCTTACTACAAAGTCGAAAAGACGGAGAATGGTATTGATGGTCGTGTCGTGGGGCCTTTTATACCCGGTCTATCGGCAATTACATCGGGTCGGTCCCGTGTTCTGTGACAGAAACATGAGAAGATACCTGGTGAATCAGTGATTACACCAATTCGGTCTCGTGTTCTGTGACAAAAGGCACGAAAAACCCAATCGTTAACTGCCGATAGACGTACAATTTTCGGGATTAGTGCAAATGTCCATAATCCTCCACGCATATTACCCAAATCATAATTCAGATAACATGCATGGAAAATACAAACACCTGCACTTATCGCGCACAGCGCATACAATAATAAGATAACAAATTATCCACGCAACGAAAACAATAATATAAAGAATATAAGATAAATATAAGAAAACAATAAGAGTATGCGTGTTTAGTCAGAGTAATTCCGGCATTGCATCGGTCGACACACCGTTCGATAAGCCCCCTCCCCTGTCGTGCTCCGTCGTGTCGTGGTGTCGTGTAGCGTCTTCCGCATCTTTGTTTTTGTTATAATATAGTTAAACTTTAAAAACTCAGAGTGTTTTCTTTTTCGTTTCTTTTCATTGTATCGTTCTAACATTTTTTGGTTCTTCGGGCCGGATCATCGTGAAAAACAAACCAGCCATCTCTACACATACAGTCCACATTCTATTATCGATTTGGTAAGCTGTTTTTTGTTTGTTAACCTAACGAAACTGATTACTGTAGTTCTCTCAACGGACTCGTTTCCCGAGTTCGTAATACCATTCTTGTCGTCGAAACTACAGTATCATTTAGAATTTTCTATCCCATAAACAAGCATAATGGCAATGCCTGCTTCAATTGGCTACATCGATGCCAAAGCAAGAGTGATTCGTGTAATTTCTCGAACTACAACTTTCGTCAAGGCTTCAATTGATTTCAATAATGACAAAACAAATGCCGGTAAGCGTGCCAAGATACGACAAATGCTGAGCGAACTTGTGGATATTCGTCAACATGTTGAAGATGACATACAAATCATGGAATCAGCTGTTGGTCAAAAGACGGCTCCAATTGACGTTACCGACAATCAATGCAGTAGTAAACTGATTGAATCTTTTGACACCATGTACTATGAACTCGCCGCTTTCGCTGATGTCCATTCACTTTCATTGAGCTCTACACCGTCTAATACTTCCGCTTTGAATCAATCTTCTGGTCTCAACAATATGTCAATGTTCCAACTGCCCAAACGCAAATTTCCAACCTTTTCTGGCAATATAGTTGAATGGCAAGGATTCGAAGACCTATTTCAATCCATTCTATCTCACGCTCCTGAATTACCAGACGTAGAGAGATTCGAATATTTGAAAACGTCTCTAGAGGGAGAAGCACTTTCTTTAGTTTCACACCTTACAATCACGTCAGGAAATTACCACAGTGCCTGGAATATCTTGCGTTCGAGATACGGAAATAAACGAGACTTGGCCAGGACTCATTTGGAAGCACTTCTAAAACCTCATACCGTGAAGTGGGATGATGCTTCTTCAATAAAGAAGTCAATCAACACTATCCTAGAACATACCTCAGCATTGGATAATCTTGAATTTGTCACCCGTCAATGGAGTCCAATATTAGTACATATTTTTGAAAATCATCTCGACTTTGAACTTCGTGCTCGTTGGGAACACATTGTTGGTGATAAACACAATCCACAGGTTAGTGAGTTTGTCGATTTTTTGCGTAGCCACGTCCGCTCTGCAGAAGTCCTTCCACAAAGTTCTGCCAATCCGTCAAAAAAGCAATCCATTCCGACTTCTCAAGCTCAACCAAGTCATTCCAAGCCACGTTATGGATCACATCAAAAGGTTTTGTCTGCTACGGCAAGTCAATCTGCCCCAATAAGCTGTCCATTGTGTAAAAAATCGCATTCAATTCGAAAGTGTCCATTGTTTAGTGACCAAGTCCCAAACGAGCGATTTAAATTGGCAAAATTACACCACCTTTGTATTAACTGTCTTGGACCTGGGCACTCGTCTATCACATGTCCATCAAAGTATAAATGCCAAACTTGCCAGAAGTCGCATCATACTTTATTACATTTTGGTGCTATCTCTGTCGTGCAATCAAAACTACTTCCGTCAACCTCAGATCGTCAAGAAAATAATTCAAATGTTACCTCAATGATTGTTAGAGGTCAACCAAAAACAACAGTACTTCTTTCTACTGTACGTTTGGACGTTCTGGCCTTGGATGGCTCTCGTCAGTCACTTCGTGCTCTGATAGATAGTGGTTCTCAGGCTAGCTTTATAACAGAAAAATCCGTTTGTTCACTAAAGCTTCGTCGAAGTCACTCATCTACTATTATATCTACATTTAATAGCAACACAAGCGCTCCAGTTCGTGGCAAATCCACAATCGTCATCTCTCCTAGTGGTCGTTCAACTCCATCGGTTCATGTTGAAGCACTGATTGTCCCAACAATTACTGAATGTACACCTCAGCAACAAATAGTTCCAGGGAAATGGTCACACATTGCAAATCTGCCGCTAGCTGATCCGTCGTATCACACTCCAGGAGAAGTTGACATTCTGCTCGGTGCCGATATCTTGCCTTCACTGTTGCTTGACGGAAAAATTTCTGGAGAGTGTGGCGAACCTATGGCCATTGAAACATTGTTTGGTTGGATCCTATTGGGACCTGTCCATTCCCATGATCAAACCAATTCAATCACCTTATGCTTATGTACCTCTGAACCACTTGACAACACTTTGAAAGCATTTTGGGAGCTTGAAGAACTACCGTCTGTCCATCATTTGAGTTCTGATGATATCAAGGCCGAAACCTTTTATAACACCACAACTACTCGGCTCGCATCTGGACGATTTATGGTAAGGCTTCCGTTTCGACAGCCTTCTCCTTTACTTGGTGACTCAAAAACATTCGCTCTGCAACGTTTCAAGGCTCTAGAACAACGATTAGATAAAAATCCAGATCTTCGTCAACAATATATTGATTTTATGCAGGATTACTTATCTACCGGACACATGGAATTAATCCCTCCATCAACCTTTGATACACCGCACAAATACTACATACCTCATCACTGCGTATTGAGGCCCGACAGTAAGACGACAAAACTCCGTGTTGTGTTCAATGCTTCAGCTAAAACAACCGCGGGTACCTCACTCAATGAGAGCATGTACACTGGGCCGAAGCTCCAGCCCGATATCCAAATTGTATTGTTACGAGCACGTCTATGGAAATATTTGTTTGTCACCGATATCAAACAAATGTATCGGCTAATACTCGTCCATCCTGATGATAGAGATTATCAACGTATACTATGGCGATTTTCACCTACTTCTAAAATTGACGAATATAGGCTCTGCACCGTGACATATGGTACTTCAGCAGCTCCATATCAAGCGTTACGCACAATTCGTGAGTTGGCCATGGTTGATGGCGCTCAGTCGACCCGTGCTGCTGCAATTCTGCTCAATGATACCTTTGTTGATGATGTCCTCACTGGAGCTAATTCTGTACAAGAAGCTCTCGAATGTCAACAGGAACTCATTCAGCTATGTTCACGGGCAAAATTCGAACTCCGCAAGTGGGCAAGTAACTGCAGGGAAATTTTATATGCCGTTCCTGAGGATACTCATGTGATGTCTCCGTTAATGCTTTTTGACGCTAGTGAAGACCCCGCCTTGAAGCTCCTTGGTCTTAACTGGGATCCATCATCTGACACGTTTTCATTCAAAATCCATTCCATGACAAAAAATCCAACAAAACGCTCGATACTTTCAGACATAGCACGAATATTTGACCCACTAGGAATTCTGTCACCAATCACGTTGTTCTCAAAACATCTGATGCAGCGACTCTGGACTGATGGTGTTGGCTGGGATGATCCTGTCTCTATTGAAATCGCACAGCTCTGGTCTCGATATCATTCTGAACTTCATCTAATCGCAGATCTCTCGGTTCGTCGCCGATTAACTTATGACCAAGCCTGTTCTGTACAACTCCACGCATTTTCGGATAGTTCAGAAAAGGGTTATGCTGCTGCTGTCTACTTGAGAGTTGAGACACCAACATCAGTGTATTGCCATCTGGTTGCTGGAAAATCTAAAGTAGCTCCTTTGAAACGATGTACGATTCCAAGACTCGAATTATGTGGAGCCGTTTTGGCTGCCAGATTACTAAATTTCGTCGTCAACACCTACGCTGGTCGTCTCAAAATTGATGAACAACACGCATGGACAGATTCGACAACTGCACTGGTATAGATCCAATCTTCACCCCATCGTTGTGCAACATTTATCGCAAATTGTACAAGCCAAATTCAGGAATTGACGTCACCATCTATTTGGCGTTATGTTCCCACACAATAAACCCAGTCGATTGCGCTTCACGTTGGTTGTTTCCATCCGAACTTGTCAATCATCCACTCTGGTGGTCTGGTCCACCGTATCTGCAAGAAGCTGACCATCAATGGCTTTCATCACTTATGACTCAAACATCAGATATAGATACATCGCCAACATTTGAATTTCGGAAGTCCAATGTACTACATGTCATCATAAAATCATCAATTAGTGACTTACTAGCACGGTACTCGACATTAGACAAGATTCTTCGTATCTTGGCATATGTACTACGATCGAGAAAGTTACGGTCTTCAGGTCTAAATAGCTTCACCGTAAATGCTGGAGAACTCATGCATGATTTGTCTGCATTGATATATTTCACGCAGCGCACCGTCTACCATAATTTTATTCAAAGATTGACCAAAGGATTACACATCATATCCAAGAACCTGCGTCGCTTGGATTTGTTTATTGATCCATCCGGTCTTGTCAGAGTGGGCGGTCGACTCACGAATGCCAATCTACCTTATGCCCACAAACATCCAGTTCTTTTGCCTTCGTCTCATCCATTAACAAACCTTCTCATCGACCATCATCATGTCCGGTTGTGCCATCCAGGGGCTCACACTCTGCAGACACATCTACAACAGGACTACTGGATTCAATCCGCACGTCGCGTTATTCGATCTCGACTCAGGTTATGCATTCCCTGTTTCAAAACTCGGCCTAAGTCCGTTGAACCAAAAATGGCGGCTTTACCCAAACATCGAGTTCAGCAAATCAAACCATTTGCCATTACAGGAGTGGATTACGCCGGTCCTATTGTCATAAAACAATCAAGAGGTCGAACATCTGCTTCAAGGTCAACTTATATTTGTTTGTTTGTATGTCTAGCCACCAAAGCCTTGCACCTGGAACTCAGTTCTGATTTGACCACTGAAACCTTTCTGCTAGCTTTCACTCGTTTCATAGCACGACGTGGCCCTGTTTATGAAATGCATAGTGACTGTGGCACACATTTTGTCAGTGCAGCACGACTACTAACTCCTTTGAACACATTCATTAAATCAGCTTCTTTTCAAGATAAAGTACATCAGCAGCTAGTAAATAACGGTATTCATTGGCATTTCAATCCACCTTCCTCGCCACATTTTGGCGGTCTGTGGGAAGCAGGCGTCAAATCAACCAAATCATTAATTCTTCGGTCAATTGGCATCCATAGATTAACCAGTGAAGAATTAATGACGTTACTCACCCTAGTTGAGGCTACTTTAAACTCTAGGCCATTGAGTGCTTTGAGTAATGACCCCTTTGATCTCTCCGCTTTAACACCAAGTCATTTTTTGATTCTTGAGCCTTCAACCAATTTACCCGAACCCAACTTAGAGACGATCTCACTGTCCAAATTGCAGAGATGGCGTCTCATCAATGACCTAGATCGCTCTTTCTGGACAAGATGGAGAAACGATTATCTATCTAGCTTACAAATCCGCAGCAAATAGTTGGAAAATCATGGAGAACTGAAAATTGGTGATCTGGTACTCATACGGGAAGCTACTCCTCCACTTCATTGGCGCCTTGGACGAATCCTGACCCTGCATCCTGGATCAGATGGAATTTCTCGCGTTGCTACTGTCCAAACTGCCTCGGGAATCCTGACTCGGCCAGTAGTTAAACTTTGTCCGCTACCAACTCCTTGAAGACATATCTTCAAAGTGGGCGTTGAAGTTTACGCATACTCTTATTGTTTTATTATTTTTATCTTATATTCTTTTATATTATTGTTTTCGCTATATGGAAAATGTGTTATCTCATTATTGTCTGCGCTGTGCGCGATAAGTGCAGGTGTTTGTATTTTTCATGCATGTTATCTGAATTATGATTTGGATAATATGCGTGGAGGATTATGGACATTTGCACTGATCCCGAAAATTATCTACGAAACCACAGCCTGGTTTCGCTAGTCCCCAGCGGTAGTTCTCGTGCTTGGTACTGCCAGGGCGGAACGTCCGCTAACGACACCGGTCGCCAACGTGGCGTTTGGGGTTGGGCTCCATACGCGTCCGCTACAGGCCGGTGCGTTTGCCCGATCCGGGGGGCGACGGAAATGTCGTTACACGGGCGTGAAGGCCTAGGTTTGCCCGTGGCGCGGGGCCGATCACCGGGAGGACGGCTTGCCATCCCCCGGGGAAAGACTACCGCGCCGGTATCTCTCCCCTCTGAATCGTGGGTAACCGCGAGAATGATGTAATCCCCTGGCGGGTGCCGGGTCGCCTTGACCAGCTGTGAGGGTCCTGGCGAGCCGTCCCCGGAAGGTGATGGCCCGAGTCGCGCCTAGGTGCGGCCGGGTGGACCGATACTAGGGAATTTGTGGTTTCGATGCGGGCCCTCGTGGAAAGGCGCCCGTACCGACGGATCGGGGCTTCCTCGTAGCGGTAGATGTAAACGGCACGGCCTTCGGGCAGCGACGGCTAACACCGATCCAACTCCAACTCTGTCGACCCCACCGAGAGAGGTGGCAGCTATGCGTCCGCAAGCAGTGGCTGCTGACGGTAAACTAGTGGTACATTTGCTAGTCTCAATGGCAGCTCGCCGAGGCGGAATTTGACCGTGGTGATACTCGTTGGTGGCAAACGGGGTCGGACGACCCGGCCGCGGTGGTCTAGACTGCCACGCCGGGCGCCGACTCGGGACGCATAAGGCGTCTAGGCGAACCTGCTCCCACGCGACCTCTCGCGGGTTGCGAAGGCGCGACTTGCGACTTGCGCAGTGGGAGAGTCCCCGGCGACGTGTCCAACCGGCACGGCGTCGGTTCTTTCTTTTTAAAGGCGCCGGTCTACTGCGCATGGCAGTTCTCGCGGGGATCGGACTTGTCCGGCCCCCGCCGGGGAGTGTCGTACCGTCGCGGGAGATCGGTGCCCTGGTCCCCCACGGGACATGACTCATGGTGTACTTGTTGCGTGACCGCAGCCGCGCCACCGCGCTAGCGGGGGGTCGTTGCGGAGGGCACGGGAGGAACCGGAGTCCAATGGGACTCGGGGGTCTGAGGACCCCCGTCGCCCGAAAGAGGGCGGAGACGGACTGGCGGATTAAATCGGCGTGACGAGGGCACAACCGAGGATGGCCCTGGACATAATAACCTGGGGACCGATAAAAACGACTCCTTGAGAGGGAGTCGGGCCACAAAATTATTAGACCGGGGTCTTCACTTAAGTGACTTGGCCCGGGGGTTCCCCAGTGGCGTAACAAAATGGGAATGGGCCCCGGGGCAATTAATAAATTAGGCTCCTTAATGCTATATATAGGAAAAACCACATTATACTGTTACGTATCGTGTTATTTTACACATATATATTATACGGAGAGGTGATGTGTATACCGATGGAATAACATATTCAAACAGTGTAGTATCGAATGGCTATGGCGAACTCCTGCACATCGTGATATTTAATATAATGAATAAGACATGATCACACGTCCTGGACTTCTCAGAAATGATGAGTAAACGATAGTGTTAACATTGTACTATTTAATATGACAATTAAGACTTGATCACACGTCTTGTAATTCTTAGAACCGATGAAATCGCAGGAAAGGCACCCAACTGAATAATACATTTAATTTAGAGAGCTTCTTTAGGTCATCGGAAGTTGCCACCTCTTCAGTCACCACTCTTGACGGTTAACCATATATAAGGGAGACCAGGGCAAGAGCTCAGCAGACGGTTAGGGATATTCGAGACGCTCAGAGGCAGGTCGTAACACCACTCACGGTCTCGTCTATCAGTATTTCAGAGGCAGGTCGTAACACCACTCATACCGTCTTGTGCTTATAAAATTGTATTCTTGTACGAGTTAATTGTATTAAATAAAGACTTAATCTTTTAACTTGCAAACATTAGTATTTCTATTTCTACGTTGATATATTAATCGACGTTGACATAACGGACGCAACAATACGTTATATTGTTGTTTAAAATATAAATACCTCTATAAAACCATTAATGAAAATAATAAACAGATAATAAATTGATACTCAAAATAAAAAGGAAATCCATTTAATTATTAAAACAAATTTTAAATATTAACATTTTATTAATATTAATTTAATGATTCTATCTAATCAAATAAAATAAAATAAAGGCTATCAAATCAAATTTATAATCTTTTACGAGCTTTAATATTAGCAAATTGATCTATCACTTCACTTAAATCCAATTTTGAAGCTGCCTTGTTTTCAACTGCAATCAATGATAAATATTTGAGTCGATCTTGTCCGGTACTATTTCTAAGATAATTTTTGATAATTTTTAGTTTGCTGAAAGATCTTTCTGCTCCTGCTGAAGTTACAGGAATGGTATAAAATAGTAAAATTGCCATGAACACTTCTGTTATATCACATTCCATCACTCCAAATTTGGTTATTATATCCTTGCATAATTGGTAAACATTGAGAAACTGGAGCGAAAAATTTGGTCCTATTACATCCGAATACTTGCTTTGAAACTGATCACATTTTTGCAACAGATTTCTTTCGTCAATGCTACGTAATACTTTTGGAGTTAAAAAATCAAATATTTTGTTGACTTTACTCATACCAATAAAACGTGTATTTAATTGAGTGATAATTATGTCTAATGTATTATTAAAAATGGTTATTTTAAATATCTCTTTTCTGTTACCAAATCGGAGATCAGAAGCTAATTCGTCAAAGTGTTTTTTAATTTTGCTTTGACGTTTTACTTGAAAATGAAGATCAATATCATATTTTCTTGCAGTTTCGGTGGCCTTATTGTAAAATGATTCAAAGTCATTTCTGTATATTTTTAATTAGTCTTTAGTCTCTTCTAAAACGTTACTTGCTTGATCTAAATCGATATCAACTTTTTGTAAAATTTTGGATGCATAATTTATGTTGTTTAAAACATAGTACATGAATTCACAAAGCAACACAAATTCAAATTTAAACAATTTTTTTTTAATATTATCTGCTTCATTGCGTTCGTCAACATTTTTTGAGTTAAAAGCTATTTCAGATAGAGATTTAATAATATCAAAAAACCGGAGTTTTACTGCAGTTATTGTATTTATCCTACTTATTTATCCGACAAGATGAATTTTTTTTAAAGTGACTTCAGATTCGCTTGTAAATTTCGATAACAGATCCCAGCGTTTAATACTGTTTCCAAAAAAGTTATATAGCTCTTGTAAAGTTATAAAAAAATGCTGTATTTCCATACAACCTATATATAACCTAACCGCGAACAGCATCGTTTATTGATTGAATATCCTTAATATGCTTTTGTACGCTATTATACCTACCACTCATTACACTTGCCCCATCATAACCTTGGCCTACACACTTTTTTAAATCAAGATTTTTATGGGAAAATAATGTAATCACCTGTTTAACTAAATCTACAGCACTATGCTTAGTGACAGCATAAAAACCGAGAAACACTTCTTTTACTTTTATATCGACTGGCTGCCCATTTTCAGACCTGGATATTGCTGCGTACCTTACAACAATGCTCAGTTGATCTACTTTTGCTAAATCTTGCGTGGTATCCATAATAATAGCGAAAAATGGCGATGCTCTAATGTTTTCCAATAAATGGCCTTCAAGTGTCTTACCTATACACTCAATCATTTCATTTTGAACGGTTGGACTGAGATACCTCGTTGATCCTATAAATAAAAATAACTACAGTGAATTAAAATGATTAATATTTAAAAACATTTCATTACCTTTTGGCATTTCCAAAACTTGATTTAGGACTTGATCATATCTGGAGACAAGTTGTACAATTGATAAAAAATTGCCGTGATATCCTTCTAGACTTAAATCCTCTCGATGTCCTCTTAATGCCAAAGAATTAGTTGCAAGAGTAATTATAATATCAAATAACCTTTGATGAACCATTCTCCAAAATGATGCTTCTTTACGAATTTGATTTTCAAGATCCTTGTCAATATTTATATTTTTTTGCCACATTTCGTATACAGCACATGCCTCAATATGGTTTTTCGAAAAACCATGTTCCTTAATTCCTTCTGATAAATACTTCCAGTCTCGAAGACCCGTACACCAAGTACTTCTTTGCAAAGAAAACAACCAAAACGGTTGACAATAGGTTGCATCTAGCAATGGGGAATAACACAGCCAAAAACGGTTAACTGGTCCATATTTAGTTTGAAAAATATAATATGATTCAGAAAAACTCTTGTTGCTCTGATGAGGGTCTTTTGGAAATGGTCCTGGAGGTTTTAATGGTCCCATATCAAAAATAAGTCGTTTTTCAGTATCATTTAATTTTTTGTTTATAAAATTACCTAAGTCATTGGATATTTTAAATAATTCGGAGACCAAAGGTTCTTTTGTCGTAGGTGTTGTCAATTTTTCATTCGATACTGTAGTCATGATATTACTACCATCATACTGTAGTCATGATATTACTATCATCAGATGAGTCAACATTTTCCATTTCGGTACTAACAGTACTTATATCACATTTAGTTTTAGTTAAAAATTTATCCATTTTCGGCAACTTTTGTTCCATTTCTTCTCTTTGTTGTCTCTGTTTTCGCTTAAAGGCACCACTGGTTTTCTTTTTTATATCCATAATACACTTCTTTATAACAACGTTAAAAGCTATCGAATTAATACAATTTTAGTGTACGCACTGCGCTACGAACACGATAACGTTACGCTGATGACTGAATAGTGAATATTATGCTACGTAAACATAATTAGATAATAATATTTTCAATAATATTTCACTCGACAATATATTATAAGCAATAGGTATAATTAAATTGACAATAGACTATTTTAGGATTATTTACGCGGCAATTCCTATGTACGTCCCAATTGTCTTTAATATTAACTACAAACCTTGGTGGCCGTTGTGCGATAAGATAACGATTACTCCGTAGTCGAACACCGATCATTGCATATTGTGTGTATTTATAGGTATACAATGTTCATAATGTTCATATTAAATTTTTAATATTCTAATATCATATTAAAAATATCCAATCTTTTTTTCAATTTTATTTCAATTATTTTACGGATGTATTTTTAAAACTTACCAAGAGCTCTGAGGGCCACTAAGCTCTAGGGCCCCAGGGCACTGCCCTGCTTTGCCCGATGATAGCTACGCCACTGGGGTTCCCTCAGAGGGGACGAAAACTAGATCTGACCTTCGCTGGTTGGCCAAGGCGCGGGCAACTCGCTGACACGACTGCTCGGCCCGGGACCGCCGTTCGCAGCATAGAAGGCGCTCACGGGAAAAATACTGGGGGACCACCTTTGGGGGTCTCCCCGTGTGACCCTACCTGTTAGGAGGGGGGGAACCACCTATGAAATTAAAATCTTGTAGGGGGACATGAAGTTCCAAATTTGGACAGAGTCCTTCACTCCGCAAGAAAGGTATATGAGCCTAGACTCGTCCCCTTTCAGGCAGAGGCACCAGATACTTTTCGGGAAAAGTATCAGGCATCGTCATATGAGGACAGTTGTAAGGCCGTCCACCAGTCTCAGGAAAGGAGTTCTTACGCCCCTCGCCTTAAACGTGGGTTTTCAAATGACTACCAGTTTGGTATCGAGATGTATCAAATCTCTCTACTGACCACTGGTAGGGCCGCGGAACTATCCAACCCGCTACTTAATATGGTTTAAGCAACCGCCAGGTGGTATACTCCCACCGGCAGAGTGGCTGTGTTCCCGGGAGAATACTCACCGTTAACCTTCGCCTGATCCGCATGCGATCAATAACCACTTTCGTCATTTACATGACTGCCACTACGTCGCCAGTGCATCGCACTCGAAGACGACGTGTTCCATCTGTATCGAGCTTCCGCACAGTGACATTCGTCGGTCTCTGACTTAGAGAAGCG